GACACAACACCATACACTGCACAGCAGCTCACATACAGTCATATCCATTTATATACTCCGGCTGAAACCCCCAGAATTGAAAATCCTAAAAGTAAACTGACGATACGCAAGTTTATATTGCATCAGTTTAATTAATCGGCTTAAGCTGTAATTCTTCAGCCTAAGCTATAATTATCATAGGAAAATGTGTGCGTATCAGGTCTAAAAAGAAGTGACACAAAGTTACAAACAGGGACCACACCCTTATGGTCACTGCAATAGTTGTTTCGCACAATGAACCTTTGGATTGTTGTATGGTTGCGGTCTACCGACTCATAGGGGGTTTGTACGGTTGCGGTCTACCGACTCATAGGGGGTTCGGATGGTTGCGGTCTACCGACTCGTAGGGGGTTCGTATGGTTGCGGTTTACCGACTTATAGGGGGTTCGTATGGTTGCGGTTTACCGACTCATAGGGGTTTCGTATGGTTGCGGTCTACCGACTTTATCATGACGTTCGCATGGTTGCGGTCTACCGACTAATTCAGGGGGTTCATATAGTTGCAGTTTACCGGCTTAATTGGACACATGTATTTAAATTTAGCACGTGAGTTTATCTTTTGATGCTGCACACCATCCGTGATGTCCGGAATAAGTAAATAAAAGTGATTATCGCTTTCAAATGAAGGGTGGAAGTTGATGACACACTTCGATCTGGTCAGAATACACAGGCAGATTCTAGACCAACTAGTGAAATCCCAATTTGTGAATTCTAAAGCATATTATTCATACGTAGCAAATCGTACGCAAATATCATTCAAAAGCATATTATTCATACGTAGCAAATCGTACGCAAATATCATTCAATTTTTACCTTGTAGAAGCGTGTTCGTGCACGATCCAATGTCACATACAGTCTACGTTCAGATCATTCTGGCATGTGATTCATAAAGTAATAGGAATAGCAACTCAAATTGACCCTTAAGGGTTGATAGTACAGATATCTTGCGATTATCTCCCCAATTTTCCCAGTGCTCATCAACCCTTTCCTCCCCTCTCCGAAATAACGATTTCCCGAAAAGTACGACAGCTATCACTTATTTTCGGATTCTTCGATAATCTATAGGTATACATCTCATAGCGCATAGGTTTATAAGGAATATGATGCATTGTAGAAAGTCAGTAACTTTTGAATATGACCGAACTTCCACACATGGATGCGTGAATCGGTTGACCCCTTATATACAATTAGCGGTTAAACTTAGTTTCATTACAACATACATAGATTTGTTTGGAAGAAGTCATATTTTTCCTAATAAATAATATTGTTGTCGCATTCCACAACCTTGATATATAATATATCCATTGAAGACAAACTCGACAATAATTTACTTTTCAAATCCATGTACTGCATCAAACACTCTTCCATACTCAGACACTGAAATATGTAAAAAATTGAACGAGTCGACCAAGATGATAATCTAGACCTGATAGCTGATCAGTCTAAATATATAATGTTTTATTTCGTAAACGTCGCCATGGGCATGTGTTGCAAATCCAACTGGACCATATTCACAATCCGTGCGACATTTTTATAAAAGTGATCACATATTTGAGCATATATGAATCATTACATTTTCATAGTCAGAGTCAACGACCAATCTCGACGCGCACGGTAGTTAGCTTCTCATCCGTGCAGATGTGAGAGTTAAGACTCATCAACTATTTACGTCAAAAGCGATTAGCTGAACATGAGACAACTATACCCGCCTTACCCCTCGAGTTCAGTAACAACTGTACAGATATGTGAGAACGTCTCTCAACGCAAATTACAGCACATGACCCTGAGTATTGTTCAGAATAGTTCTCTCTGATGGGAATTTCAACAGAATAGCTATGAGGACTACGAAATACACCAAGATATTCAGTACAGTAATATATAAAAACAAAGAGACGCTGAATAAACTGAAACGCAGACGCACAGTTGAATATATAAATATTTTTAGATATGTATATACATGTATATATGTACTGTCTACACACATACACACACAC